AAAATTTTCTCTTTTGGCATTGGGAGTTTTTTTAAATTCTAAATGCTGTGTTTAGAGTAGTATGTCTACCTAGCTCAGTTTTTCAGATCAAAAAAATGGAAGGGGTTGGCTGATGCTTGGCAAGCTGCTCCTCCCCTCTTATGGCCATTTTATCACTGTCTTTCAAGTCCTGATTAGATCTTCCTGTATAATTGAAAAAAATATAGTCCTTTACATTATTCAGGAGTTAACTGCTAATTCCTCACAATTCCTTGTATTTACGTATTTATTTATGGTTTGCACTTGCTCTCGGTGTAATGTGTTTTCATGACCTTAGTATGTGAATTGAGAATCATTCATGCCATGATTGCCAGGCATATTTGTATTCATTTGGACTTTGATCTAACCCTGTTGAAAACAAAGGAGATGCTGGTCTTGGCTTCTCTTTGCTTTGGATCCTGACAAGTGACCTACATCACCCTGGTTAAATGTCTTAAGTTTTATAAACAGGATGGTCTCTTTCTTCTGCATTTATTATGTGTGAATATTCATAATTGTTCACCAAATCAATTTTGCACAAGCTCGAAAGCTTTTCATAATGGCCACGAAAGTACTTTTGCCATGAATTCTTTCATTACGTTGTTCTCATTTATTCATGCCAATATTTGTAACAATTTTTCTGAGTAAGACCTCGTGCACTGGAGTGTTTGAGATCAAGCTAATGGAAAAATAAGAAAAGAGAAAATATCAGCTGAACAAATGGCTTCTATTGCAGAATGCTAAATAAACACTTCTAGGCTGTGTTTGTACCTGCTGTCCCTCTAATCTTAGCTGGTCTCTTGGCATATACAAATATATTATAATAGATGTGTATTATAAAATATATATAATTTTCTATTTATATTTATAATTTTCTATAGAATATATTTTTAATATATATGTGTATGTGAATTAAAAATATATTGATCATTAAGGGCTGAATTATCTTTTTATATGGACATCACTATTATATGTGGTACCTTACAACAAAGGATGTGATGCAACTTTATCTGTTTAACAGAGAAAAATTAATTCTAGACTTCTAGTACATAGTCTGCCTTGTTGGAAAAATGTATCACCCTCGGATTCGTGCTTGGTGTGACATTCTTGTAACCAATATATATGTATTCCATCTTGAGTTCCACTCAAGGATGTATGTAGGATAACCCTGAAAGTAGAGTGGGAAGCTGAGGTGTCATGGCAGAATATTGCAGAATAACACTTTCTGCTGTTGAGGCTCCTGTAAACTTGGAAGGCAGCATTAGGATTTCTTAGCTAGGCTCACTAAATTAATAATGAACTCACCACTTCACATATGAGCTTAATGTACCCTAAATGTTAGGATGTTCTTTTTCCTGTTTGAAAGATTAGTGGCAGTAAAAAGAACATAATTACAACAAAAATATTAAGACTTGCCTATCATCATCTACAAATTATCATTACAGGTCCTGTATTTTAAAAATGAAGTTGTTAGTTAGGAACATGTCAGTTGATGATGAATGTTCTATAATTTAAAGTGTCTTAGAAAATGTTATTCTCTTGCTAAGAATCCAAGCTGTTAATATCCATAAGCATTGCAAAACTGGACTGGTTTTTTCCTTTTTTCAAATCTTTTTAAGAGATTGGCAAGAATGAGAGTGAGGGGAAATTAGTTGAAAAAGCATCAGTGGTTTCAATTCAATATAATATTTATCAGTAATATCCTAACTAGGACAAATGAGATGATCTGTGATTTTATACCTCTTACTGGAGCCCTGGGAAACCAAAGTTTCTTGATTTTAGTTAAAACAATTTTCTGTGTAGAGGTTTCACAGATGTTGTCTATCTCTCTACAGTCATCTCAGGAGAGAACAGTGCCACTCTTTTTCCAATTGTCTTGAGAACAGGATAATGTTTTTTAAAGGGTAGAGGGAGACTTTCGTTGCTGCAATAACAACCCTCTGAAGGATTCAACCACAGACAAATAAAATAACTGGGAGGCAAGGAGAAGGAGGAGATGGTGGAGAGAGATGGTTTCTTGTGAGCTATTAACAGAATCAGGAGAATAAAAGGGGAGAGTGGCTGGCTGATAATTTATTACACCATCTTTTGCAAAAAAAAAAGAGAATTAAAACAAAAAAAAGAACCTGGCTGTGAGTGATATAGCATCTTTCATCTACTCAATGATATAAAGTGCCCAGGACAAAAATAAGGTCTGACATAGAAGATGGCATCATGTGGAAGCCTCCAGTGTTTTAGCTCCACTGATGGGAGTTGAGAGCAGGTGAACAGATTGTTTGCCATTAAACTAATCAATGCTAAATTAATTTCATTTTATATACCTGATAGTGATTCAAACCCTAGAAATATCCTAATAGTGTTCACTCTCTAATACAGCCATTCTTTTCTTACAACTCTCTTTCTTTTACAAATCGTCTGTATTCATTGAGGCTGAATTGTCTAGTCTAGCTCATTCCTTGTCAGGGCTGTATAACAGTTCTGGCACTGTTTGGAGAAGAGATAATTATACCAACACCCAGTTCCTATCTCAAAACTTTCAGCATGCTTTCAAACTAGAACTACAGTATAAATACTGATTTTTATGAATTAATGTAGTATTTGCAGGTGATGGCACTGTTTATCCTTCCTGTCATTAAATGCTCTGAGATTGGTAGTGTGGCTCATCTGAGCTCACATTTATTTCCAGCAGAGATTTGTCAAGGAAGTAGACATCATAATCACCAATAAAACTTTTCATGTATATTTAAATTAGGCCAGTTTGAGAGAAGACTGGGTTTACAGGTACTGTGATTTCAGAATCAGTTTTTGTGTAATTCTTGAGTAGCTGATATCGGGATGTAGTGGTACAACTTCCCAAATATGCTGTATCATATGGATTCATATTGGTACTATCTTTTTATTTGAACAGAGTTCAAAAATTTTTAATAATTCATCTTGGAATACCTCCAATAAAGGTATTTCTAATTTTGAAAAGTGCATCAATTGACATTGTTGCTGAACAGTTAGTTGCTGTTTCTAAACAAATGCTTATGTTTACACTGCCTGTTTTTCATGTCTAGTGCAAAGATGATGCAATATCCTTTATAAAAGAGAAATGTGTATCATTCAGCAGATTATATACATGTATATTTCTTCGTACTGAGGGTATTCCCATGGGGACCACTGAGCCCTGTTGAGATTGAGTCCTTCATCACTGCACCGAGGAAAACTGTGAAAGAAATTGATATTCTCAAAGTAGATACAAAAAAAAAAGAAAGGAGATGTTTTTTCTACCTTTCCTAATATCACACAATGCTTGCTCTTGGTACCTAGACCTCCTCAGTCCCTTCCTATGTCTCCTAGAGACATAATTTTCCTTAAGGACTTAATCAGACAATTCCAAACTTTCAGGTAAACCCTTCTCTGTACAAACAGATAATCCCTGAACACTAAAACAATGTGGCTTTTCAGTACCTGGACTCCATGGAACTCTCATTAGGACATGTGTAGGATTCTACAATGACAAGTGGTTCCACTAAATATTACATGTATTGTTTGGAGAAAATTCTCTCCACAGAGAGTAACTTTGGAACATGTACATACATTATCTGCTGACGTATGTGCCATGTTCACATCCAGAATGGCCTAATTCAACATCTGCTCCTGATGAGAGTGAGCATCTGGTGTTTCACAGATAATTGAGACATGAGCTGACTGTCCTCTAGGCTGACCAGACAGACTGGAACCAGGCTCTCTGGGTGGATGGTATGACCTGGTTCAGTGCCAGGTGCAGTTCTGATCACACCTTTGTTGTGGCTTGGGATCAGAATAGGTTTAATCTGTCACAACCTCTATGCAAGCAGAAGTACCAGAAACTTCAGTGTTGTGTGCCAGAATCAGAAGGCACAAGAGAGATGAAGATTTTTTCCAACACAAAAGAATAAAATGGGAAAGTTCATGAAACTCTACTCCTGTTAAACCTTTTCTTCCAATTTACCTCAGTGGTGATGTCTCTGGATATGTACTTGGAAGCTCATAGTCATTTTGAGGGTATTTGAAATGGAAACAAAAGGAAGAATACTGATTTATGTACATTTTATTGTTTCCTGAGTAAATTATTTTGTACCGAAACAATGACAATGAAGAAATATTCTTTTTTCTTCTGTCTACTGACATCTTGTTTTATATTAGCACTATATTATGAGTGTGCTGAAGTGGACTCTGTGGAAGTAAAATGCCTTTATAAAGCCTCAGCATATCTCAGGCCCCCATAGCCTATCTGATGCTGGCCTTTATGGGAAACTGAACATTTTAGTGGGGCATTGAATAGGGCACCAGTAATGACTGACTGTGACCAACCTGTACAATATCCAAGTTGGAGAATTAGGCCACAGAAACCTCTATTTCCAGTTTTTAATCCTGTGTGATGTTTTGTGACTGGTACAGAAAATCTAAGAAATCTGCTGTTACTGATGTGCCTTGCAGCCAAAGAGCTGGAGTCTTGGGAAGAGTATGTGTGTGGATGTTCAAAAGCAGAGAAATGCTTTTTCTCCTGGCACTTGCTTTACATTTCTTCTGTAAGAGACCTATAAAGCAATTATACGGCAACAGAGTCTGCAGGACTGCAATACGACTGCAAATATCAGCAATGTATTGCAAATTCAAACTGCAATGCCAAGCCATGCTAGTCTGCTTAAACAATGGCTTGTCCAGAATTCTATGGTTTGATAGGCCAGTTGCATTTATGCACTTCCTTTGAAAAAGCAGCAAGGATGGGAAAAAGCAAGTCTTAACCATCAAATTAAAAAGCATATCCCAGCAGACTCCATCAAAACTCTTACAGCTGCCCTTCAGAGGCAAACAGCATAAACATCTCCTCCTAGAAACATTCCAGTCTTCAGAAGTGACACCATTGTGATTTCACTTCTGTTCAGTATTTGCTGCATTTGATTGCCTCTGACAAACCTGTTGCCTGCATAACCATGGGGTTTTTTTCTTGCCAGGCATTATCAGCCGTCAGGAAGCAGAGGAGTTGTTGATGAATAAATCTGAAGGCGCGTTCCTGGTGCGAGTCAGTGAGAAAATCTGGGGCTACGCGTTGTCCTACCGCCAGCAAAACGGCTTCAAGCACTTCCTGGTTGATGCTTCGGGGGATTTCTACAGCTTCCTGGGGGTGGATCCAAACCGACACCCAACGCTCACAGATCTCATTGATTTCCACAAGGTAACACTTGCTGGGTGGAGATCAATAGCTGAGTGGAATGGATTAATAATTTAATGAGGAGCCGTGTAGTTTGAAACCACACTGGAAAGTAGGAATGACTGTAGTGGGAAAGAATATTGTACACTAAGCCCTGCTGTAACATTCATACTTCTGTTGCAGTGAATCAGAAAGCTTTTCCCCTTCTTTCAAATGCTCCAGTATGTACTTGTGTCCTCTTATACAGTGTGTACTCTCCTTGGCTACAAATGGCCTAATAAGGGCTGACAGATGTAACACTTTCTGAGCCTTTTTGCTGTGGAAAATTGGATTGGAAATACCATAGAAAGGCCTTTCAATGAAATTTCAGCATTTTTCTACCTTTGATGTAAGGGCTGTAATGTGAAAAAGCAAGAGAGTGTGACCCTGCATTAAAGAAGGGAACGTGGAGGGGTTCTCTTTTAGGGATGTATTAAGGGTCACTCCTTATTACCCAAAACAATCTTGCAAGAGAAATTTACTATTCGACTTTCGATGGGTTTGAATTACTTTATCTCTAGGTCTGTTTCTTGTTGCCAGACTGCAACTAAACAGTAGCACTGGTTCTGAAAGCATAAATTGTTTTTGTCTTGCATCTCTCCCTGTCTTCATCAGTTTTAATTCTGCTTTTTTTAAGCCACCCTTATAATCCCTCTTCCTCCTCTCTTTTCTAGTTCTCCTTCATATTTTATCCTTTTCTCCCTCTTGTCTCAGGGTAATTCTATAAATTTTTGCTTCTCCTTTTCTTCACTTTTAAGTATTCAGTCTCAGGTTATTTTTCTTCTAAATTCCCTATCTCTTAAATCTCGTTTTTATCTCACTTGTTTTGCAGCATCCGTTTAACATTGCCTTAGTGTCCCTACATGAGTGTGATGTTAAATATTCACAAATTGTATTTCCACATAGGGAGATGGCAGGTTTCACATTAAATATAAATATATAATATAAAATATATGTCCTCTGCTAATTTAAATAAATCCTTTCTCAATGGCCACCTTGGTAGCTCAAATCCCTGACACCCTTTTTGTATAGAATGTCCTTTTGTCCAGTTTGGGTTAACCAACTGGGCTGTGTCCCCTCCTAGTTCTCCCTTATTCTCAGCTTACTGTGCCAGCAGGGCCTGAGTGGGAAAAAGGATTTTTTTTTTTTAATCTGCAAGCACTGGTCAGCAAGAGCCAAAACTGCAGTGTGTTATCAACACTGTTTTAGCCACAAATTCAAAACATAACATCACAGTGGAGCACAGGCAGATGTGAAGGTCCATCCCAGTCAGCCCCAGTGCACCTGGAAAGAGTAACCAGGACCTTGTCAGGGAAAGAAAAGCAGACATGCAACACCTCAAACGCAGATGTTCAGGTGTTGGATGTAGAACTTCTGGCTAATGTAGTTTTCCCTCTGCTCTTGGTGATGGTGACAGCCAATTCCAGTCATCTCTGCTCCAGTTTGTTCCTATATTTTCACCACAGCCCACGTTAGGCTATCATTGTATTAGCAACACATCTATTTACAGAGAGCAGTAGAGCACCCATCAGAAGCAGAATGGCTTTTAGTTCCTGCCATTTAAAAAAAGGAAAAAACTTGCTTAGGTGTCCCATGATAAGAGTTAATAGCTGCCCCTGTAGTAAGCCTGTCAGGGAAACCAGTTCATCTTCAATGCCAATACAATTCTATTTTCCCTGTTTAGCTTATGGCTTTATTAAAACTGGTACCTTTGGCAATCACTTCAGGAGGCATTTTATCCTGTCTGTCACTTGATTTCCTTAGAGGCTTTTCTGCCTGCCCTCTGTGGTGTACCACACTGCTATTGTCCCAAAGCCTCCTGTCCCAAAGACAAACAATCTGTATGTGACACATTTTCCCTTGCAGTTATTGCTACAGTTTTGGGAGAAGCTGCTTTTACCCTCACGACTATTTTTGTCAAGAGTATACTTCCCCACCCCAAAGGTTGGGTGGACTTTGTTTTGAGGGCCTGAGGAGGGCTGGAATAACTAATTTTTTACTTGTTTGTACCTATTGACTTCATTTTGTTTCATTTTGATTAAAAAACTGAAAGGTGACTCAAGCAACTCATCTGGCAGACACAAGGGGGTGGTAACCATTAGTTGGAAGAACAAACTTTACAAAATATGGTGTGAGTGTGCATCTTCTTCTTTCATTATTTGCGTTTAAATACTGTGTGGAAAGCAGCAACAACATATCTGAGATCATTGCTGTATTTGTATTTACTTCCTTACAACCCTCTTGTCTAGTTGACAAGGTGCTGATTAGCCAGAGGTTGAACTCAATGATCTTAGAGGTCTCTTCCATCCTAAATTGCTCTGTGATTCTTGGATTCTGAAAATAATTTAATTTGGGTAGGAACTATCTAAACTGATTCTCAGTCTGGTGTAGTGATTGGGAGGGAACAGGAACTGGGAGCCTGCATGTGTTCTGAGGAGATCAAGCACCAAATCTGCACCAAATTTCAATAGAAGCTGGATAGGTCTTGAAAATACTAGGTCCATATATAGATGCATATCTTGGATCTAAACTTTCAGATGGAAGATTGCTATTTTAGTCAATATAATTCTGGATTCCAGCTAATTTTGGTGCATCTATCAGTCTTAAACTTATACAGAAAAAAAAATTAATTATCATTTCTGTAGGAATAAGTGCAAAGACCAAGTTCTCCACTTTTCCAGTAGGTGTCTTGGTAATCAGTCACTGGAATGACACGCTTGGCATGCGAATATTTAATTCATGAGAGTAGGTGCTGTGAGTACAGGCTGCCTTTACCTAGCAAGGGCAATGTCTTTCACCCTGCAGTCATCAGTCAGAACTGTTACTGTTGTGTGTGAGCACTCAGCGTTGAGCTCTTGCTCATCTGTCTGGGAGTAGCAGCATGGTAAGACTGGCATCTGTCTGTTCAATGAACCCATGAGAATACCATTTATAAGCAATTGTAGCTGGCTTCCTAAGTAGTGCAGCAACTTACAAGTAGTGCTGTAAATCAGAGTCTCTTGTGTGCACTGATTTCACTGTTTGATAGTAGCACAAGTTGCTACCAGCATAAATAAGAGATAAAGTATGAAGCAAATGATTAACCAATAAGATCCTTTTGCTGGTCTGCAATTATTTTGTCAAGTGTTTATTCATTTATTCATAGTTGCTTGCCAGTTACACTGGAGTGATGGCCTTCATTGCTATTCTTAGAAGGTGGGTGGCTTAGATCTTTGATATTTTAATTGGTTTTATCATTCCAGGAAGAAATCATCACGTCCTCTGGTGGGGAGCTACTCCTGGAGCCATGTGGACAGCAGAAGAATCCACCGGACTACAGCCCTTTATTTGAATAACTAATCCAGGACCAACAGGAATCCACTCTGGACAGCTGTAGTAATAGATAGTTACAAAAATAAACAATGGAAGTAGTTGACCCACTTTCAAAGCCACTGGTCTTGTGGCCAAAAGGTATCCTCATTAGGAGGCCTAAAATATTTCTGGTTTGCATCTGAATTATCATCACCATTATTCATATTGCTAGTACTTGAAAGGAGAGCAATTAACAGCAAATTGCAAAAGAGGACTACTTCCAAAAGGTTTTCAAGGGGTTGTAGCCAATTGCACTGAATGCTAAGTTCCTGTCTTAATTTTGTCATGTTTTATACTGCAAGAAGCGTGGGCAGGAGCTATTCATAGAGAACTGTATGAAGTATCAGTGTTGGTGAACAGATTCTGTGTTCCCAAGCAAGGTTGGACAGTTTCTGTTGACAATTTCATTACCCAGTGGTGCACTTTGATAACAAGAGAAGCAGTCCTCAAACATCCCTGTGAAGTTCGTGATTGTGTTTATAATTAGGTGCAGTTTGAAACTTGCCATTATGATTTTGAATTCAGGCCTACAAAGTTCCCCACAGCAGAGACAGAATAAGGTCATACACATTTTATTTTCCTTTTCATGAAGCCCAGCAGCCTTGGAAGGAACCACTCCTGTACAGTAAGTGGTCAGTTTATTCTGTTTGATTTGTTGGAATTCTCTCACTGAGCTTGTCATGCTTTCCACTTTTAGATGTGCAAGA